AAATTTATAGCAGTGAATTCTCGTATCAGGAAAACAGCAGGCTCAAATAAATAACCTAATGTTGAACCTGAAGCTTCTAGAAATAAAGAGCAAGTCAAGCCCAAAGCTCATATAAGGGAGGAAATTATAAAAATCTGAGCAGATATTAATGCAATGAAGACTAAGAAAACAATACAAAGAATCAATGAATTGACGAGTTGATTCTTTGAAGGATTAAATAAAATTGACAAACTCATGGCCAATCTTATCAAAAAATGAAAGAAAAGACTCAAATCCACAAAATTAGGAATGAAAAGGAAGAAATCACAACAGACCCTGCAGAGATTCAGAAGATTATCATTACCTACTTTGAGGACCTGTACTCTATTAAGACAGAAAATGCAGAAGAAATGGACAGATTCCTAGATACATATGAATTACTAAAACTGAGTTAAGAAGATATAGAAATTCTAAATAAACCAATATTAGTCAATGGAATTGAATATGTAATTTAAAAACTACCAACAAAGAAAAGCCCTGGCCCTGATGGATTCACTGTTGAATTCTACAAGAAATTTAGAGAAGACCTAATGCCACTACCCCTCAAACTCTTTAATGAAATTGAAAGGGAAGCAATACTCCCAAATTCATTCCTGGAAGCAAGCATTACCTTGATTCCAAAACCAGAGAAGGATCCAACCAAAAAGGAGAATTACAGGCAAATCTCCCGAGTGAACACAGATGCAAAAATCCTCAATAAAATACTGGCAAACAAAATGCAGCAAATCATCAAGAAGGTTATATGCCATGACCAAGTTGGATTCATCCCAGGGATGCAGAGATGGTTCAATGTACACAAATCAATAAATGTAATACATTATATTAACAGAGCCAAGGACAAAAACTATATGATCCTCTCAATAGATGCAGAAAAAGCGTTTGACAAGATCAAACACCCATTCATGATAAAATCCCTACAGAAAGTTGGTATAGATGGTATTTATCTCAATCTGATAAAAGCCATCTATGACAAAGCAACAGCCAACATCATATTAAATTGGGCAAAAACTGAAAGCTTTACTCTAATATCAGGAACAAGACTAGGATGTCTATTGTCACCACTTTTAATTCAATATAGTTATTAGACAGAGCAATTAGACAAAGAAAGAAGTAAAAGTAATAAGGAAAGGAAAAGAAGTTAAATTATCATTATTTGCAGATGACATTATACTCTACATAGAAGACTCCACAAACTCCACCAAAAAAATTTTTAGATTTGATAACCAAATTCAGTGGTGTAGCTGAATATTAAGTCAACACTCAAAAGTCAATAGCCTTCCTGTACACAAATAACAAACTCACAGAGAGAGAAATTAGAGAAGCAATCCCTTTCACAATAGCATCCAAAAAATGAAATACTTAGGAATCATTCTAACAAAGGAAGTAAAAAAACCTCTACATTGAAAACTACAGTACTCTGAAAAGGGAGATTGAAGAGGATATCAGAAAATGGAAAGGCATCCCTTGTTCTTGGATAGGAAGAACCAATATAGTGAACATGGCCATACTTCCAAAATTATTATACAGATTTAATGCAATCCCAATCAAAATCCCAATAGATTATCTCACAGAATTAGAAAAAACAATCCTAAAATTCATTTGGAACCAGAAGAGACCTAGAATAGCAAAGGCTATTCTGGCCAAAAAAGGCAAGGCAGGGGGCATCACAATCCCTGACCTGAAATTATACTACAAAGCTACTGTGATAAAAACAACATGGGACTGGAAGGGGGATTTAGTTCAGTGGTGCCACTGCCTGCCTCGAAAACACAAGGTCCTGAGTTCGATCCCTGGTACTAAAACAAAACAAAACCAAAAAACAGCATGGTACTGGCAAAAGAACAGACCTAAGGGTTTTTTATACAATGGAGTACTACTCTGCCATAAAGAAGGATGAGTTTCAGACATTTATAGGTAAATGGATGGACCTTGAGACCACACTCTTAACTGAAATAAATCAGACACACATGTTTAAATACTGCATTGCTTCTCTGGTATGAGAAACTGAAAGTGGAAATAAGGACTGAGATTTATAATGGATGTTGGGAAATAGGAAGAAAGTGTCCAAAGGGGAAGGGGAACAGGGAGGAGGAGGGAAAAAGGAAGGAAGGGACAAATAGAAGAAAAAAATGGAAACAAAGCTTTTGTACATAGGAAGGGGAGGGGGCTTGAGGAGGAAAATGGAATAAAATAAAATAAAAATTATTTTTAAAAAGAAAGTGAAGGCTGGGGATTTCGCTCAGTGGTTCTACTGCGTGCCTCGCAAGCACAAGATCCTGAGTTCAATCCCCAGTACCAAAAAAAAAAAAGAAAGTGGAAAAAAAAAAGAGTCACTTTAGCAGATAGCAACTCTGCAGAGAAAGGGCTGCGGGCTGCGCTGAGCTCATGCACCCCCGCTGTGCACCTGTGTCCCCGAGGCTCTGGCGTAATGCTGAGTCAGCCTGGCCTTCCTGAGCAGCTTCTTCTCTCCGGCATGTTGCTCAGTGAGTGACTGGGACTAAGGAAACACACTGTCTGTCTCACCACTGCTCTGTCAGCACAGTGTTGCATGCTTTAGCCACTGCTGAAAGGGGAAAAAAAAGGAAAAGTCATGCAAGTTGTAATAGAAAAAATAAAACCTATTTTCAGATGATGTGATTGTCCACACAGAAAAATCCCAAGGAACTTTCAGATCAAATGAACTCCTTAAGGTCACAGAATAAAGACGAATGCAAAAGTCAACTGATTACATTGCTGCCCATCACAATGAACATGTGAAGACTGGAACTGTCACTAGCTTTAGTGGTAATGGAAATTAAAACAAGCAGCGGTATGAAATCAGAGGCAAAGGTTTTAATGGGAAGGTAAGAGAAAACAGGGAGAGCAGGGAAAGGACTCCATCTTTAGCAACTGAAGGGCGTACACTGATAAAGAGGATCAGATAGGCCTGCCAACAGAGGATCAGGCCAATTTCATGGAGGGCTGAGGCAGCAGACAGAGACAGGCAGTGTGGGAGGCATCCTGGCCTCAGGCTCAGGCAACAGGCAGGATGCCTTCTGGTTCTTGGAGATCACAAGGCATCCTGCTTTCACCGTGCTTCCCTCAGCTGCAGATGCTGACAATTGTCGGGGGTTCCATGGGCATCCTGGGAACCCCGGACCCCTCCCTCACTCCACTGAGCTCTGATTCCTGGAGGCTCTCCTGATTTTATACACTTTATCTGACTAGGGTTACACATTCCCTGGGTGCAAGGGCTGCAGTTTATCCTCCTTGGAAGTGAAGCCCTTTCCCCCTGTCCAAAAGCCAACTAGACAGTAGTCAGATCCACGACCCCGGGTTCCTGGGCCCACACTGCTGGAAAGCCCCTAGGTCCCCTGCTGTGCATACCAGCAACACCTGGCTCGCCCTTCACCCCTTGCCAAGTACATTATTTTGTCCTGGTTTTTCAAGTTAGATCTAAAATGTCACCAAAAGCCTCATATTCAGAGGTGGGGCTTTCAGAAGGTGACTGGCTCATGAGGGCTATCACTTTATCGTGGACTTCATGTATGATGAGATCATAATTTGATGGCATTATCAGGGTGTAATGGAAATTGAAGAGATGGGAGCTAGTTGGAGGAACTGGGTCCAGGCAGTGTAGTCTTGGGGCCTGCCTCTTGTCCTGGCTCCTTCCTCCCTGGTACCCACCCTCTCCGCTCCCTGGCGACCACAAGCCAGTTGCTTTCTTCTGCCAGGTCCTTCCGCCATGATGTTTCTGCTTTGCCACAGGCCCACAACAATGAAGCCGGCCAACTGCGGGCTGTGAGGCCTCTGAAGTCATGAGCCAATTCAAACCTTTCCTTCCTTTTTTTTTTTTGTATTAAATTCTTTTATTGGTACATTGTAGGTATACAACACAATTACATTTCTCATTGGGAATTGTACCTTTACATAATGCATCTGGGTTCTTATTTTTTCCCCATTCCTAGCCCTCCCTTCACGCCCTCCACCCTTCCCTATTTACAAAGACTTTATTTCCATTTTTTCCATTTCTCATCATTTTTCCTTTCCCTTCTTTCCTTTCCCCTGCCCCTCCCGCTACCCCTACCCCTTTGGACCTTTTCTTCCTATTTTACATTATCGATTATTCATTCTAATCATTGGTACATTTTAGGTATACAATATAATGACATTCATCACTGGAAATTTGCACCTTTACATAGTCTCTCTTGGTTCTTATTAAACCTTTCCTTCCTGAAGTCATTTCTCTCAAATATTTGGTCCCACAGACAAAAATCTAACCACGCTCACCTCCCCTGGGCTGCACCTGCATGGGGTTTCTGCTCACTCTCTCCTGCTCTGACACATTCACACACCTCTGTATCTAAACTTTTTAAACAGACATTCAGTTAAAGTCACAAAACATTCCTTTTCACCAAATCAATAAAAATGAAACACAGTTTCTGTTCCTTTATGATTGGACTGGTGTATGTTAACTCTTCATAAACTAAATGTATTCTAACACTACTTATGTGGTTCGATGGTCAGATGTTTATACTGTGTCTATGAGTGACCCTTTAAGATTTGGCATGCCCTCAAAATTATTGATTTTTTTCTTTCTGAAAGCAGTTTTCTGGGTTTTCTTTTTGCTTTGTTTGCATACTAGACATGGATTCCACTGCACTCAAAAATGTGTGTTGCTTAATGAAAATTAGCATTTCGGACAAAATTGAAGAGCCAGGTGTCTGTGGAGAGGACAAAAGGCTGCCTCTATTTTGTGTGTGATATTTTTATACGCACACAAAGAACTCAGCATCAGCTATTTATTTATTATTTATTCATGTATTTTGTATTCACTGTTCTTTCCCCCTCCTCTGAGCCATGTGGAGAAGGGGATTCCATCACGGTTTTATCCAGGATCCTAGAACTTAGGAAAAGGCAACACCGTCACCACGTAAGCATGTCATGCAGGGTTCTGGGTTCTAGAAGGTTCTTTCTGACTTGGCCAGTGGCGGCGGTGGGGCTGAGAGGAAGGAGGAATTTGAGAGGAGAAAGACCATGCCCCCTGCCCAGCCAGCGCCAAGCCCAGAGACACGCACGCACCCACGCACGCGGTGCTGACAGGTCGTGCAGCTGGGAGACCAGGTGCGAGTACACAGAAGGCCTGCAGCCAGAGGGCCCCACTAGCCAGAGCGCTGCCTGCCTCACGCCCTACCGTGGCTGGCCAATGAGAACACGGCAGGCTCTATAAAGGCGAGCCCGTTCCGGGGGCTCCCACGCAGGTGGAGGAAGCACCAGCAGCTGTGTTGGGCCGATGGCCCGCACGAAGCAGACGGCTCGCAAGTCGACGGGCGGCAAGGCTCCGCGTAAGCAGCTGGCCAGGATGGGCTACAAGACTGCACCCGCTACGGGTGACGTGAAGAGGCCGCACCGTTACCGGCCTGGCACTGTGGCGCTGCGCGAAATCCGTCGCTATCAGAAGTCTGCCGAGCTGCTGATCCGCAAGTTGCCGTTCCAGCGCCTGGTGCGTGAGATTGCTCAGGACTTCAAGACACACCTGCGCTTCCAGAGTTCGGCAGTGGAGGCGATGCAGGAGGCCTGCGAATCCTACCTAGTGGGGCTCTTCGAGGACACCAACCTGTGTGCCATCCACGCCAAGCGTGTCACTATCATGCCCAAGGACATCCAGCTCGCGCGCCGAATCCGCGGGGAGCGGGCCTGAGCCCCAAGCGCGCCCACGCCATACTGCTGTCACCCCAAAGGCTCTTTTCAGAGCCACTCACTGAGTCAGAAAAGTGGCTGTAGCTTGTGGCTCCCAGGCCTCAAAAGTGGCTCCTGCCTTTTTCTCTCAACCTCTACTTAAGCTTGAAATTGCGTATGTACTGTTACTTTGGCCTCTTACCAGTTGAGAGATCCAACTAGTCCTGTGCATTGGTAACTCACTATATCTAAGTTTAGAAAATGTGCAGTGGGTATGAGGACAAACTGAGTGTTTCCAGTTATCCTGGGTTCAGCAGTTTGTGCTTGTGTGGTGAGTGCTGAGTCTGTTTCTAGTTAGAGGTCCAGTTACCCGCACTATTAACTCATCTTATTTCCAGACAGTGGGCCAAAAGGTTTTGTGTGCTTTGTTAACTGCCAGTTTTCCTGTGGAAGTTTAGTTAATCTTGTGTGTGAAGTCAGCCTGTCTCCTGTTAGAAGTCCAGCTAGTTATGTGCATTATTACTTTTACCCATGTGCTGGTAGGTTCAGAGGATGGCTGGGGTGTGTGTGTGTATGTTTTAATTTGACCTTTCTCCAGTAAAAGTCTGAGTGAATTGTTGACATGACCTAAGTGAAATCAACATTGGGAAACTAACTGTAAAGTTCAGGAAGGCACTGTGCCCTGGAAATTATATCAGTTAAGTAGCACCAGCCCAGATGGCTCATGGCTCCAGCACTTTGAAATGGGCCTCCCGACTTCTAAAGTAGCCTGGGTTGCCTAGAATGAAAGAGATGGAGACCACCTGGCTAGGAAATCTTGCAGCTAGGCATGGAGAGGGTCGGCTGAGTCCGATGGCGGGGATGACCTGAGCATAGTGGTGATAAAGTAAGGGTTTTTGCCACTCTGCCACATACTGGGATCATTCATATTTTAAAATCTTTATTAAATTCAGACCCACGCACTGCCTGGTGCTAGGAATGCAGTGAATGAACTGATCAATTCTGTTGCTGCGTGCTGTGTTTGCAAGGTGCTTATTGTCAAGTGAAGGGTCGTTGTATACAGAAGCAACAGTGGAAAGTGCTCTTATAAATAGCAAGGGGTGAGGGTGAAATACCACCAGTATACAGCTGTGGATTCCTGAAACCCATTTATATCAATCAATGTATAGACTGTTGATTCAAAATTCAAAAGATTCATGAATTAGATTAGTATTCACACACTGAAAATCAATCATCTCTCTTAAGGATGTATAGGGTGACTTTTTGAGAGTTACCAAAAAAACTTAAGAATATTCAGAAACCATAGTGTTCTGATTTTGAAAGCTTCTGACCTTCATTATTAAGGTAAATTAATTCATCTGGGTGTCATGCCTCTTCATGAAGTCCTTGTCTTGGCAACCTTTGGCTCAGTGAAGAGCTAACCCTGAATAACTTTGCTGGATGGCATTGAGGAGGGATTTGGACAACTAACTCCAGGGAAACTGGATGTATCTTAGCATGATATGATTTCGTGAGGAAATTTGCCTTTTCGTGGGAGACCCAGTCCCTTGAGGAAGGGATCCTTGTCATCTGTTCTTCATATCCAAAAGAGTCTGGCCTTGTATGCTCCATTAGACATATGCTGAGATTCCACAGTTTAATGGACAGACCAGTACATGAATGAGTGACAGGGAGAGAAAGAATGGGTATGTGAGAATTGATTTGAGGACCTGAAATGGAGAAAAGCAAAGTAGTAAGGATACAAGAAAGCAACCCAAGTTCTTCTGAAATCATGTGCATGAGTTCTTAGAGAAGCCTTCCCACATGCATGTCTGAGTCCCATGGAGAAGGCCCACACTCTGTGCTCTCAGCAGAGAAGAGTGCCTGGCATTGGCCCCAGGAGGCATGACAGGACTGATGAAGCCAGGCATTTGTGGGTTTGCAAGCAACTCACCTGGCTGGTCTTCAGGTGACTCCGTGACTAATGTGCTGACACCTGGGAAGAGTGGCTGCCAGCAGGGATGTGCCAGGTGGGCACATGATCATGGCGATGCCATGATCTCTGGAGTCTCAGCATACCTAGGATAGCTCAGAAAATGCTTCTTAAATACAAACAAGTGCTACCATCTGGTGCAATGAATGAATTTTTGTTAAATGCTTCCAGGTGTCTGTCATGAAAACCAATTTGGTATCTCACCTGGAATATATGTGTTGTTTTATAACACAGTAAAAACTATTGAGACTGGAACCTTCACCTGTGTATCCCACCAGTCTTGATGATGCACTATGTCAGCCTTAGTGCAGAGTGTTTGTAAGTGTAATAAGTCATTCTACTAAAAATCAAAGGCTGCAATCCTAAAAGTAATAGGAAGAAAGGAGGCCTGGGTACTGAGGATAGCAGCTTCCACCATCCCAGAACACGCCAGTTAAGCATACAGATTACTCTAAGCTGAAAGCATTTGAAAACCAGCAGCTGTAAAACAGCATTCTGACTTTCCTCTTTCCTCCTGAAAGCAGGAGGTGAAACTCCAAAGATGCCTTCCCCACACCAGGGGAGAAATAGTCCACAACCAGGGCTGGGCACTCCAGAGTGATAGAAGTTTGTACCAACAGTCCTCATTAAAGTTGTCTTTACCTTCATTTAGTCTCCTCATATATTTTATTTGCTTCTTCACACAGTATTGCTCTTCATTCAACCTAGGAAATGCACTTAGGCCTACTCATTCCTTGGGTCTTCATTTTCCTGTGAAGGCTCACTTGCACATGTGAAAATGCAAGTTATGTGCTTTTCTCCTATTAATGTTTTATCTTTTCTTAGTCAATTGGGGCTGCTATCACAAATAGTGGGTGCTTATAAACAGCAGAAATCTGTTTCTTACTGCTCTGGAGTTTGGAAGTCAGAGATCAAGGTGTGGCAGATTCCCTGTCTGGAAAGGGCTGCTTCCTGGTTCACAGCCAGCTTTTCTCATTGTGACCCTACAAGGTGCAGGGTGAGGGGCTCTCTGAGCATTGACCCATTCATGATGCCCCACCCTCAAGAACTCATGGCCTACAGAAGACCTCACTGCTGATAGCATCTCTTTGGGGGTACAGAGTAAGGATTGTGACATAGGAACTGGCGGCTGGCGGGGGGGGGGGGGGACAAACATTCAGACCATAGCATAAGCCAACCTAATTCTCAGGTGCAACTGGAAACCCTAAGGGCAAAGTTTTGCCTCCCCTATAGCATGATCTGTGGCTACAAGCTAGAGAGGAGCTACTCAAACAGATCAAGCAACATATTTGATAAGAAAATATGCATATGATCTAGAATTATGATGTTTCTAGTATTCAAGACAGCAGTTAACGGCAGTGGGGTGGGGGAGCAGGAAGGAGTGCATGGTGCTTCAAATGTACCTATGGTTTCTGTCTTCAACTGGCAGGCAGCTCAGGATACGAATTTTCTTATTCTTGGCACCTTATACATACTATGTTCTGGGGCATGCATTTACTACTCAATAAAAGAAGTACAAGAAACCATAGGTGACTGCCTGTGTCCTAAGAATTTATCCTCTTCAAGGGCTGTAAATATATATTACATATATGCACACATATATGATCTTCAATCCCTGAAACATGAAGAATCTATTGAAATAAAAAGATTTCTGGGTATTTGCCAAGACTTGGAAGCAACCAAGATGACCTTCATTAGTTGACTGGATAAAGTGGATACATCCAGACAGCGGAGTATTACCTGTCAACAAAAAGAAATGAGCCATGGAGCCACGAGAAGACATGGAGGAACCGTAAGTGCACATCAATTGAAAGAAGTCAGTTTGAAAAAGCTACATTCTGTATGGTTACAATCATACAACGTTCTGGAAAAGGTAAAATAATGGGTGGTTACAGAGCGAGGAGGGAGGATGACCAGGTGGAGCACAGGGGACTTTCCAGGCAGTGAAACTCCTCGGCACAACACCACAACAGTGGACACATGTCATCAGTCCACAGGGTCAGACACGAAGTGTGGGCCCGATGTCGCCTGTGGATGCTGGATGAAGATGCCACATCACATAGGTTCATCTTCTGTGACAACTGTTCCCCTTCAGTAGGAGATACTGGCAAGAGGCAAGAAATGATGGGAAATCTGTGTTCCTTTCTCTCAAATTTGCTGAGAACTGTTCTAAAAAATAAAGCTGAGTTTTGTTTTCTGATTTAGAAGCCCCACTGACAGGCCATGAAGAAGAGGCCACAGCGGGCCCGATGGCACTCTGAGGAGGGTGTGGGACATCAGCAGCTGGCATTGCCATTGACTAAAGCAGCAGGAGGAAGCTGGGCCCTCTGACCCTCCCTACACGCCCCCCAGGTGGGGGCATGTATCAGTCAGAGCTTACTAGAGAAACATTTAATACAAGAGGTAAAAATATATAAAATTTACACTATTTGCCTACAATGGCCACCCACAGAGTCAGGCGTGGAAGAGTGGAAAGGGGCTGTCTGCACACTGGAGATCTGAAGGATCCAGTCAAAGGCTGGTGCTCACTGTAGTGTCCCACGCGAGTCCATGTTAGGAGGCTGAAGGGTCTGTGAGAAGCCAGGAGATGACGTCCAAGGTGAAGTTGAAGATGAGCTTCTCCAAAGACACAGAAGCCATCCTTCCTTCTTCGTTTCCCTTTTATACCCATTTTGGTGATAATCTTCCCTAGGGTGAACTATGCTGAGCCAATTTAGTTGGGTTATTTACGCAAGTGGATATAATCAATTAACTATCACAGGACAGCAGCCCTCCCATGCCTGCTTGAGCAGCAGGCTCCCCCCCGGCCTCGAGCTCCTGGTCCTGGGGCCGGGCTGTGGTCTCTGCCTGTGATGCTCCCTCCATACTGAGGCAGAGGCTGGTCTGAGCTGGACCATGAGCCCTGGGCCTGATGGGATGGTCATGGAAATCCCATGATCCTTAGTGCCTGGCATGGCGGGCACTTGGCGTATGTGCTGCCCGTCATGGCTGAACCGTGTCCCCAGGGATTGCAAGGCCCAGGACCTCAGGATGTGGCTACTTGAAATGAGGCACTCACGATGAATGAGGCCCTAGAGGACACCCACTCCGAGTGCCGACTCTGTGAGGACATGGGGGCGGGTAGTGTCTGCAAGCCAAGGAGCACAAGCTCAGGGGAGCCCACACCTCGGTCTCTGGAGCCTTCAGAACAGGAAGAAGTCAATTTCTGTGGTTTAAGACCTCCGTGTGTGGTATTTTGTTATCCAGCCTGAGCAAGCTGATATGCTACCCTTAGAATTAAAATTAGTACTTGGCGAGTTTTATGTATGCACAATGTCACGTTTTAGCTATGTGGCTTTTCCGCACTTCCCCTAACCAGAAGGCTCACTGGACCGGGCGTGCTCTGTGCCACAGGCCCTGTGTCTTTCCTTGGGCCCCCTGCCTACCTGTGGTTTAGGTAACACAGCCAAACCTACCTGTGTGCCCATCTTTTTGAGAAGCTCTTTCTACTCCAAAGGTATATTCACTTTGCCTTTTTCATTTTCTGTATTTTAGGAAACTTTGACATCCAACCCTGGAGGGTGCCCTACCCCAGGGCTACACAATTCCCAGGGACAATAAACAACCCATCAGCATTCTGCATTTTATATATAAACCTGCTGTGTTAGCTTCCTGACACTATGACAAAATAATTAAGCTATTGACTTAGACAGAGGAAAGGTTTATCTTTTTGCTAGGTCTCAGAGGTTCCAGTCCCAGTCGCCTGGCTCCAATGTTTTGGGGTTGTGGGGACTCAGAAGTCATGGAAGAACTGCGCCCCTACCTGGCCACTGGGAAGCAGAGAGCGACAGCAAGGGGCGGGGTCCCAACAGCCCCCGCAGGGCCACACCCCAGGGACCTAATCCCCTTCCCCCAGGCCCAGCTCCTACAGCCCCCCATGGCACCGCTCTGGCGGGGGGGGGGGGCGCCAAGGCCGCAGGCTACACCCCACAGCAGGCTGTCTACACTGGCACACCCTGGACCTAGCCGACCAGGACCTTTCAGCTTTCGGGGGCCGGATTCCCTCACCGATCGCCGCGTAGCCTCAGCCTCCGTTTCCCGTCTGTCTGCTCTCCCCAGGACTAGGATTAGGGTTAGAATCAGGGTCAGGGCTAGGCCTGGGTCAGGGTAGAAACCTCACCTACCCGCCCGGCTGGCCAGGATCCGCACCCCTCTGAGCCCCGCCACCCCGAGGGCCGTGGCTCCCCTCCACCCTCCGCACCCAGCCCGGAGGACCCCATCCCCCCGCCCCCTCCCGCCGGGAGGACCCCCTTTCCCAGACTCCAGCGTCCTCCCCTGGGCCCCGCCCCGCTGACGCCACAGAGCCGGTCCCCGCCCAAGCCGTTGTCCGGGTCCGCCGCTGGGAGACCCCGCGCCCAGAGACTCGAGGGCGTCCTGCAGCTTTGGCCGCCACCCTGCCCCCAGGGCGCCCACGTTGACCCGGGTCCCCTGGATGAACCCACAGGGACAGAGGGACAACTCCCGGGCCTAGCCCCGAACCTGAGGACCCCCCGGGCACCGAGTCGCCGTGCGCTCGGCTGCGGAAAGCGTGGCCTCTCTGGATCCCCGGACACTGTGATTTCGGGTCGCGGAGGGGCGCGGGGTCAGCGCTCGAAATTTAGAGGTTCAAACCCTCCTCTGACCTGCTCCCTAAAGACCCCAGGAAGTAGGAAGGGGAAGGCGGGGGGGGGGTCTCCGCTGCATGCGACCCCAGTAAGTATTGAGACTGACCGTTTGCACACTCCTCTGTGCACACGCGCATGTTGTGTGTACGTGTGTTTACACGGGTGCACAAGTGCGTGTGTGCAAGCTGGTGTTCGGTGTGCACGTATGTGTGTGCATTTGTGCACTCACACGTAGGTGTTCATGTGTGCACACGAGTTCGTAGTTTTGTGACCCTGCACAGATGGTGTCTTTCCTGCTCTGCACTTCCCTCCCCTCCCTAATGGAAAAAAATCATTTTCCCTCCATCTCCTTTGTTGTACTGGAATTTAGGAAAGTTATTCTGAGCTTGTTAAAAGGAGCTTCTCCCAGTGAGTGTCACCCTAGGGAAGGGTTGAGGTTCAAAGCCAGCAGGAAAGGAAGCTGGGGACAGAGGAAGTGTGGGCAAAAGGTTTCTCCCTGAACGGGTCTAGGGGGTTTGCAGGGTTCAGGCTTCATGGGAGGGATGAGGACTTGGCCAGGCGTCCAGCAGGCGGATCGCAGGGTGGGGTCTGGAGCATGCTTTTTGCATGGCCAGAGGCTTCTGGCTGCGTCTGGTCAAAGGGTCTTTGCAGTTTCCAAAAGGCATTTCTGCTTTGTTGTTAACAAAACTGAAAGAGACAGCATAGGCCCCTCATCCCAGTTCTCTGTGAAAGGGTCACCACACAGAGCCATCGGAGCCCAGGTCTGGGGTTCAGCTCTAAGCTCCAGGCCCCAAGTTCCTCCCAGTGGAAACCCAGGAGCCATGGATGCTGTAGAACCGGCCCGAAAGCTCCAAGAGGAAGCCACGTGCTCCATCTGCCTCGACTACTTCAGGGACCCAGTGATAACTTCCTGCGGTCACAACTTCTGCCTCATATGCCTCCGGACAAACTGGGAGAAGGCAAAAGGCAAGAAAGGAAGGAGAAGGCAGAAGGGGGTCTTCCCCTGCCCCGAGTGAAGGGAGATGTCGCCCCAGCAGAACCTGCGGCCCAACCGCCTGCTGACCAAGGTGGCTGAGATGGTGCGGCAGCATCACAGGCTGCAGGAACGGGACCTGTGCCCTGCACACCAGGAGCCCATCAAGCTGTTCTGCCTGGAGGACCAGAGCCCCATCTGCGTTGTGTGCAGGGAGGCGCAGGAGCACCGTGAGCACAGGGTGTGGCCTGTGGAGGAAGCCCTGCGGGAGCACAAGGTGGGGGCAAAGGTCAGAAGCTGGGAGGGGCTGTTCAGGGGACCAGGGGCCCTCCACCAAGGTTCTGGAGGCCCGAAGGGTAGGAGTGCGTCTGGGATGCGCTGTATCACCCACGGGCAGCACCCCACCACAGAAGGGTAGGACGGCTCCTGGGACAGAACAGGTGGGTGCTGACAGGACCTCCAAGGCCCAGGCCCTCTCTGACCCCCACAGCTCCGGCTCCCTGAACCCTTTTCCTGGAATGGCACTGGGGGATGACTGCCCTGATGTGGATGAGGAGGAAACTAAAGGGTGAAGAACAAGCCAAAGGGCTCTGACTGGGGTGGGCATCCAGGTAGAGAAGTGACCAGAGGATGAGGACCAGGTCACAGGGTCTTTGGTACAGACTTCTCGGTTCAACCTCTGTCCTCAGCCATGAGGACAACTTACTTCTCTCCTGGTACAGGGAGGACAGCTTCTGCACGATAGCTTTTCTCCCTCCACCCTTCAGGAAGAAAAAGGGAAGGTCAGAGACTCGCAGCTGTAGGTTTTCTTTTTTCTTTTCTTTTTTTTTAAAGTGTATTCAGCTCAAAATAACATTTTTTCCCAAAATAACTCTTAAGTGGTGAATAACTCTTGTTGAAGTGGTGTATTTGGGGGTGTTGTGCTCTGAATGTATTTTGAGGTCCGAACTGATTCATTGACAGAGGGGCCTGTTTTGGAGGAGGCATATCCAATTCCCTATGCTTCCTTAGCGTGGTTTTTGGGGTCAATGCAGCCTCAGAAACCACAATCGAGATTCTGGCAGGAGGTGTGGGCACCACTGGTCCCGAATCCTGTGGTTTTGTGCGCCCACAGTTGAAGCTGGAGGAAGACATAGGGTATCTGCAGGAGGAGGTGAGGAAGACGGAGAAGCTGCAAGCCAAGGAGGAGCAGACCTTAGCCCAATGGCAGGCGGTTCTCCAAATCCCCCTTTTCCACCCCTGTTCTGTTCCCTCTAGGTTTCCCTTCTCTCTTCCTTGCAGTGGGAAGTGCTGCTAAAGGTGTCCCAGTCCCCACCCTTACCCCCCACACCCCTCCCTGCTGCAAGGAGGAAAACCTTTCCTCAGACCCTTGAGTTCAGGGCCAGGTGCAGGAGTGACAGGTGGATGGGGGGAAAGGCAATCTTTTGATTATGTCAACACACAGGGTAGAAGAAGCCTCACACAAACATGAGACTCAGGTGATGGAGCTTTCTGGACAATCAGAGGCTTAGCAGAGGACAAAATTACAGGGTCTCACCGTTGCCCAGACTGGCCTGTAACTCCTGGGCACAGGCCATCCTGGACGTGCTGGGACACAAGCCACAGCATTACACTCAGCAAAGGGTTTGGTGGCTTTACATTCAGTTCTAGAATCAAGAGACTGTTGTTCCACGTGATATGGCAAGTAAGCTGAGTAGAGAAGGTGGGTTTCAAAGACAGAAGGAGCTGGAGTGATCAGTCAGAGCACAGGGTTGGTCATTTCATAATTGGCATCATTTAAAGGCAGGAACAGGGAGAACAACAGGAAAACAATGGATCAGTGAGCGCCAGGTCATCCCAGGTTACTTTTGTGTAAGGACTAGCTTTGTGATCCATTTGAAGTGGCCAGATAGTGTCTCCAATTCTGGTTTCTGGGGAGTTCAGCAGCTCTGGGGCCTCCGTTCTGACTTCCCACCTAGTCTGCAGGGGACCAGAGCAGGTGTCCAATTGTAAACAGTGGCCTCCTGTGGTTTTTAGGAAACATCCCCAAGTGGCCCTCTTTGAGGGGGTGTCCCTGATCCCCACCAGTACCAGGGCACGTGAATGTTAGGGTGTTGGACATTGCCCCTTGGGGCCCAGTGTGTTGTTCCTCTGAAAAGATCCCAGTTTCCACCTAAAGCTCCCAACCCTGGCCAGAGTTTTGTGGGTTCCCAGGGACTCAGGGAGGTACACCGTGACCCAGAGAACTGCTGTCCTGTGTGGGGACCACATCTCATGTGCCTGCAGGACAGAGTGAAGGATCGGAGGCAGAGGATCATGGCGGAGTTTGAGAAGGTGGCCCTGTTCCTGGCAGAGGAGGAGCAGAGACTCCTCCAGGCCCTGAAGAGGGAGGAGGAGGAGACAGCAGTGCAGCTTCGAAATAGCAAGGCTGCCCTGGACCAGCAGCTCCGCTCCCTGGACTTGCTGCTGCTGCAGCTGGAGGACTGGAGCCTGCGGGAGCCTCTGCAGATGTTGCAGGTGAGGCTGCCCCACGGGCTCTGCTCCAGGATGAGGTGCAGGAGAGGTGTGGTTGGGGTGCACAGGACCAGGTGAAGGAATGCAGCCTACCCTTGCTCAAATTGCTCAGGCCAGAAGCATCTCGTACTTCAGATATTTCCAGATTGGGGATATCTGCATAGACGTCATGAGGTATCTTGGGGCCGAGACCTGTGTTTAAACAGGAAATCCATTTCTGTCTTGTGTACAGCACATGTACAGAGCTGTAGGTGACATTATGTGGTTTCTTTACTGTGCCTGTGTTTTGACTGCGACCTTCCAAGAGCTCAGAGGTGGAATGTGTCACAGGGTACCCATCAGGTCAGCTTTCCATGTCAGGTTTTGGATTACAACAGACTGAGAGCGTTAACAAATGGCACTTGGTTGTGTAAGTCCTGGAGGCTGGAGGCTGGGGTCAGGGTGTGGTGAGGCTGGTCCCCCCTGTCCTCCCAAGGCTGTCTTCCACAGGCGTCCGTGACCTCATCTCTCCCTCAGATGAGGACACTGCTCAGGTTGGACCAGAAACCACCTGAATGAACTCGCTTAGCCTCAACTAACCTTTTAAAGACCCTACCTCCCAGTCATGATGGTTCAGCTCGACCGTGGAGCACAAAATGTGCTGTCAGTAGAAACCAAACTTCACATATTGAATCTGGATCTTTCCGAGATAGCAACAGGCAAACAGTTCCCATTCAGCACCAGTATCCACGTGCCCCATGTGGCTAAGCTAGGGTGCTCAGTAGGTCAGGGCCACTGCACGCATCTTTATCTTTCAAGGTTTTCTGCTTGAAGTGGATATGTCAGCACATAACTCCATTTTAAATGGAGGATCATGTGTACATCACATCCTGAGGTCCTGGGGGCTGGGACCTAGGAAATGAGGGGGCTGGAAAGGATAAACCACGGCATGGCCACTGAAGAACAGCCTAAACCCCATGCAGCTTCTAGGCCAGGGTGTTAATGTGCTTGGGAGCTGCCCATTCCCAGAGTCCCTCCAAACCCAGGGCCCTTGAGCTGTTACTGCAGCCTCTCTCCCACGCCAAACCTCAGCCAGCTGCACCTCACTCACCCCCATTTCTCCGTGACAGCTCTGTGCATCCGGCTGGTCTGCACCCACCTAAAGAGCACCCAGGGAGCACCTAAAGAGGAAGCCCCCCCATCCAGTCTCACTTTTCAAGGTTTCAGTTACCCGTGGTCAACTTCAGCCTGAAAGAAGTAGAAAACTCCAGAATTATACAATCATAAGCTTTAAATTGCGTGGAATTCTGAGCAGTGTGATGAAATCTCACTGGCCAGCTGCATCCCAGACGCTTTGCTCAGCGACCCACACCATGCAGAGTCCCTGTCCACGAACTGCTCAGCCACTCTGTTACCAGATGGACGGTGGCAACATCTGTAGCAGCCCCATTTTACTTTAAAATGGCCCCAAAGTGCAAGAGTAGTGAAGCTGGCCATTCAGACATGGCAAAGAAGCCACAAAGAGCATTGAGGGGAAAGGAGAACAGCTTCCCCAGGCACCCGGCCATGGGCTGGGAATGGGTCGGGGTCAGGGTAAGCCCCAGGGCCTCCTGGTGGGTGTGGCAGCTCACTTTCTGCCAGAAAGGACATTTTTAATCTGTCCCAGAGAAGTGGGCAACAGAGGTGGCTTTAAGAATGACATGGGGGTGGCAGTTGAGAGCTGAGTCCATTCCCTGCTCTCCCCCCTGTTCTCTGCAGGATATGAAGGACACCCTGACCAGGTATGCAGTCACCAGCAGCAGAGGTGGTGGCAGAAGTGGGTTCAGGTGGGCTCTGTGTGGGTGGGGCTGAAAGGGACAGTGAGCCTGTGTCCCCTGGAGGAAGCACAGCCTGAGCGTGCAGTGCCCAGAGGTGGCCGTCAGGACTGTGTGCAGGGTTCCTGGGCAGAGAGACGTGCTTGGGGGCTTTCAAGGTGAGTGCGGCCTGGGGCCTGGGGCCCTCATGATGCCCTGCCCCTCCCCCAGGCACCACACACCCATGGGGCCTTGCGTTGCACTGCCTTTCCTGGGGGAAAGGGTGCCTGGGGAGATGGGGACCAGAGGGGCCATTCCGTCGCTAGCTGCCATCTGCCTCAACACCTCTGACCCTGACTGGCCCCACCTTTTCGCCTGTCACCTGTTCCTCTTCGGAGGAAGGGCTGCCAGGCCAGACCCCACCTTGGCATACCCCTACCTCCCCCTGTATGAGAGCCGCCAACGGCGCTACCTCAGCCCCCTGCCTGAGGGCAGCACCACCGCTGATTGTGGCAGGGACCCATCCCTGGCCTTCCCCTGTGCTGTGGGCCAGCAGAGCTTCTCAGGGAGGCTCTGCTGGGAAGTGGGTGTGAACCTCCTCGGGGATGCGCTCTGGGCCCTGGGCATGTGCAGAGACAACATGAGCCAGAAGGACAGGATGCCCAAGTCCCCCGAACACGGGCTCTGGGTGATACAGCTGTCCAAGGGGAAGCAGCTGCTGCCCTGGGCACCCACCACCATGCCCATCACGCTGACCGAGCCTCCCAGCCACGTGGGCGTCTTCCTGGACTTCGAGGCCGGCGAAGTGTCCTTCTACAGTGTGAACGATGGGTCCCATTTGCGTACTTACTCCCAGGCCGCCTTCCCTGGGCCCCTGCACCCCTTCTTCTGCCTGGGGACACCCAAGTCCGGCCAGATGGTCATCTCCACAGTGACTATGTGGGTGAAGGGGTAGAGGTCAGGACTGCCAGGTCTGTGGCATGGGAGCCATCTGCAGCACGCAGGGGACTTTCTCCAAACAGAATCACAATTAAAGTGGCCAAATGTTGAGACTACATTGACAGGCGCTTTGTAGAAAGGCAGAAGCTCCCTAGTGGACAGATTTCTGAATACCCAGCTGCACCAAGCGCAGTGTGATCTGGTTTGTTGTTGTTTTGTTGCACTGGAGACTTAACTCAAGAGCCTTTTCACTGAACTACATCCCTTTTTACTTTGTGTTTTGAGACAGAGCCTCACTAAGTCACTGAATTACCTTGGCTGGGTTTGGATTTGGGATCCTCCTGCCTCCGCTTTTCAGAACGCTGGGGTTCCAAGAGCGCACCATCACCCTGGCACAGGGTGGTCTATTTTTTAGCTCTGCCTCCTTGGTTCCTGGATACCCTGGTGGACACTGAACTCTCAAAAGCTACAACTGGCCTCCCCCAGCCCCTTGAAGTTGCACATGAAAAGCAAAATCCAAAAGATGCTGAGGATAATTGGGGGTATCCTCTCCTGCCCCCCAGCATACTTTCCTAAAAACACTCCAAGAGGCCCTCAGTCCCATCACTCCAGAAGTCCAGACTAAATGTACTTTCCTGGGCGAGGGGTTCCCACAGAATCGTGGCAGAGGGCGCGGCCGTGGCTCCACAGCCTGGCCTGCTCCCCAAGTCGCGAGGGAGTCCGAGAACGTGGCTCCTGAGTGGGCGCGGACCGGAGGGGCAGGAGGAGGGTCCCCCGAGCTGTCCCAGCTCCCAGGGCCAGCTGCAACGCCCGGTAGCCGCGACCCACGCTCTGGGGCCGCCCGCCCCGCGCCGCGTGACCCGTCGCGGCCAATCCCAGACGAAAGCTGGTTCCAAAAAGAAAAAAAAAAAAAGCACCCCGCGCTTCCTGCTTCCGCCGCGGTTCCGCTTCCTGCCGGCGTCCCGGAGCCCCGTGCTGTCGGGATTCCCGCGTCACCGGAGTTTCGGGCCCGGCGCTCGCCCCGCGGGAATCGCCCTCTCGCCATGGCCACCCCCGACCTGTCCACCAACCTCCAGGAGGAGGCCACCTGCGCCATCTGCCTCGACTACTTCACCGACCCCGTGATGACCGACTGCGGCCACAACTTCTGCCGCGAGTGCATCGGGCGCTGCTGGGGCCAGCCCGAGGGCCCCTACGCGTGCCCCGAGTGTCGCGAGCTGTCCCCGCAGAGCAACCTGCGCCCCAACCGCCCGCTGGCCAAGATGGCCGAGATGGCGCGGCGCCTGCACCCGCCGTCTCCGGTCCCGCAGGGCGTGTGCGCCGCGCACCGGGAGCCGCTGGCCGCCTTCTGCGCCGACGAACTGCGCCTGCTGTGCGCCGCCTGCGAGCGCGCGGGCGAGCACTGGGCGCACCGCGTGAGGCCGCTGCAGGACGCGGCCGAGGAGCTCAAGGTGCCCGAGGGGGTGGGGTGGGGGTGGGCGGGGAATGGGAAGCTGGGGAGGAGGGGACGAGGTACTGGATTCGCATCTGATGCTGGGCCTGGGCTGGGGGTTCGGGTACAGTTCGGGGCTGATCGTCCACCAGCCAGGGTAGTCGTCCCAGGCGGGGACTCGCATTCTCCCTGTACCAGGGGCAGGAGTAGCCAGGATGCTGGTGGGCTCTGGGACGCTGGGCGCTTAGGGTTAGGGGGGAGGTGGAGCCCCCCCCCCCAGGGATGGTGCAGGGGTCGGTGGAGGAAATACGGTAATGGCGTCGGCCACGGGTCAGGAAGGAGCTCGAGAAGCAGAAGGCTGTGGTCAGGGCGGCTGGCTCTGCGTGACTCCCAGGGGACCTTTCTGAGCCCTGAGGGCTGTTGGCAGAGCCCCGCCACGGGACCAGGGCTTGAGTCCTGGGGAAGCCGATGCCGGGGCCAAGCTGGAAAGATGGAGACAGAGTCTTCGGAAGAGTCCCAACCCCGCCCCCTCCAGGGCTGTGCTGGTTGTGTGTGGGAAGTGGGGGCCATTTCTACCTCTGATACCAGAGTGCCACCCACCTTCTTTGCTCAAAACCCAGACTGCCCAGAGAGCCTGGGCTGTGTCCTGCTGAGGTGCCGTGGCTTTTCTTCTCTATGCCGGGGAAGCGCTTGCCGCTGAGCTGTACCTTCACCGCAGCTCATGTTTTGCATTACAGCCTGCTTTGTGCATTGCGTGAGAAGTGGGTCAGATCAGCCAGTAGCTGTAGCTGATGCTGGAATCAGTACTCAGCTCTGAGTCCCCATAGAAGGAACTTCTGAATCTAAATCTGAGCAGCAACACTCTTTGCCTTGAGTTTCAAAAAGACTTAGACACATATGCTGGGCCTGTGGACGGGTAGATGCCTGTGGATTTACTTCTTGATGGTTCTCCATACAGTGTCATCCACGCCCCAGTCAGCCTGCCAGCTCTCCTTCCTGCCGCCAGGAACCGAGATGGGTGCAGAAAGCCCCAGGGGCTCCCCGAGCTGACCCAGGACTCTCAGGGGACAGCACTTAACCTTTTCGATTGCAGGAAAGAAGAAATTTCTCCTCCATCTTGTTGAGTTTATTGCCTGGGTTCTAAAAAGCTGACAAAGGGCACTTACAGAAAAGTTTTATTAATATTTTAAGTTTATTTGGGAGAGGTACCGGGGATCGAACTTGGGTCCTTGTGCTTGTGAGGCAGGCAGTGGAACCAATATGTAAAATTTCTTATAAACAGAGGCTTCACAGAAAAGGAGTGAAAGAGCCAGAGATTTGGGCACACATGTGTACCTTTTTTTGGGGGGGGGGTACCGGGGATCGAACTCAGGTCCTTGCGCTTGCACAGCAGGCGGCAAAACCACTGAGCTAAATCCCTGGCCCGCCTGTGTACCATTTTAACAAAGCATGATAAGCCATGGAAAAGTGGGAGACAAGGAAGGGAACTTGGACTTCAGGGCTGATAAATTATAGGAAGTGAGAGGGGTGAGGGAGTAATGGAAGATCAAGGCTGTATTTTCCTCTTGGAAATTCGAGGGTTGCTTTTAGGTGGTTTCTTCCCACTTGCCAAATGCACCTCTCTGGGGTGGTTGTCCTGTGCCAGTTTGTTCCTGCAGGTGCCTATAGATGGTCACCTGGGGGAAGGCCCAGCTGACCGCTTCTCCCTGCCCTGCAGGTCTGGAGAGCTTGGCTCTACTGACAACACTGTCCTCCACTTGCCAGAGTCTCCAGGCTATGCAGCATCCCACAGGGCCCACTCCTTGCCTGGCCCTGACTGGGGACCACAAGTGAGCCAGCCCCAGAGGGGACAGCCCCAGTTCTGTCTGGCTTGTGCAGCAGCTGCAAGGGGGAGGAGGGCTTAGTATAGGACGAGGGATAGGAGGAGGCCAGGGCCTGCCCAAGGCCACAGTGTCCAAACTCCTGGCCACACACAGGATATGAAGGCTGAGCTGTGACCTGTCTGGCCATATGGAGATGGCTGGCTAAGTCCTAAGGCTGGAATGCAAGGTTGGGGTTCAAGGTGTCATCTTGGGGTGTCCTCCTGTGGAGCAGGGCACAGCGCTCTCAGCCTTCTTTTCTCTCAAGCCCTGCTTCCTCACACCGTCTCCTTGGGGTAGCGATACAGGCATTAGTAGCTGCCTTCATGCAGGCCACAAGCCACTGACTTCCTGGGAGGAGGAGAAGGGTAAGAGGAAAAGTTGATTAGAGAAGAGGGTCCCAGGGCCTTCAGAGCCACCTTGGGGCAAGGTCACTGGGTGCTTTGGGGGGTCTCATGGCTCTGTCCCCACTCTGCATCCCCAGGGAAGGCTGGAGAAGTCTCTAGAGCACCTGCGGAGACAGATGGAGGATGCACTGCTGTTCCAAGCCCAGGCAGAGGAAACCTGCGCCTTGTGGCAGGCAGGTGCCGGGCAGGGTCTGGGTGGCAGAAGCAGTGGGTGATGCAGGATGACAGGATGCTCATCTGTGTCTACCCTGGAGACGATGTGGGTTAAACTTGATGTCAGTAGTCACTGCAAGGCCGCCAAGGTTGGGCGAAGGGAGGGGGGCCAAGGGTGTGTGTAAGTGTGCATGCCTGGGGCGTTCTGCCCCAGGTGTCTGTCCTGGACTCCTGGCATGCTTGAGGTGGTAGATTCGGAGTAGGGAAGCAGGCATGGAAGTCCGGGAGGGGCTGGACGTGGGAAGGCCCCAGGTGGTTTGGGATAAAGGATAGAGGTGTTGGGTCTTGCCATGCCATTTAGGGTTAGGGTGGCCCCAGAGGATAGAGTCAAGGTCTGACCAGCGCTGGGTGGCAGGCTGGGGTGTGGCTGGTGCAGGGTGGCAGCTGACCTGCTGGGCCCGGGCGGCGAGTTTGGAGTATGTGAGACCCCAAAACTAGATTAGGGTCTGGGAAGCTCTACGAGGTTGGAGTCTTGCTGGCCTCAGGGCTGGGCTTGGTGTCCAGGTAGCCCCAGGGGTAGGTTTGAGGTCTAGGAGGCCCCAAGCAGGCGGGTTTGGGGCCTGGCTAGCTCTGAGTGGCAGATTTTGTGTTCAGACAGCTTGGGATGATGGATTCGGGGTACAGGGAGCCCTGGGTAGTAGATTTGGGGTCCCGGCAGCCCAAGGACATGGGTCTTGGCCTCACTGTCCCTCTGGCCCCACAGAAGATGGTGGAGACCCAGCGGCAGAACATGCTTGGCGAATTCGAGCGTCTGCGTCGCCTCCTTGCTGAGGAGGAACAGCAGCTGCTACAGAGGCTGGAGGAAGAAGAACTAGAGGTGCTGCCCAGGTTGCGGGAGGGTGCTGTGCGCCTCAGCCAGCAGAGCGCCCAGCTGGCCACGCTCATTGCTGAGCTGGAGGCCCGCTGCCAGCTGCCTGCACTGGGGCTGCTGCAGGTGAGCGGAGGAGGGCCACGTGGGGCATCCCCAAAGTAGGCTCACCATGCATCCCAGGACATACAGGCACATTCCCCATTGCCCTGTCTCCTGCCTTTGGGCTCCAGCTGTGCTAGCTGGCTTGGTGCCCCGAACCAGAACCCTTGGGGTGCCCTCCTCTGTGGCTTAGCAGCAGCCAGGTTGTGCTGAAGAGTGTGGCTGTCAGCACGGGCCTGGCTCATCCTTCTGTGGGCTCCCTGCCTCCGTCTCCCCACCTTACAGTGGATGTGGGTGGGGACTGAGGCCCCATGCAAGGGTCTGCCCTGGTCCTTCCCGGGCTTGGCAGAATGTTTTGCCCCACAGACACTGAAACGCAGATCTGTGCCCAGCACGGTGTAGACCTGAGACCGGGTGGCTCTGACTCCTGTGTGGAACAAGGCTGTGTTCAGGGTTCGGCCCTAAGAAGGAGGGATGCTGTGTGCCTTCCTGAGGGAGCATCCGCTGGGAGAGGCCTCTGGACCCAGGAGATTCTCAGCGCCAGGAAGAGGTGTCCTGGGCCAGTGACTTGGCTTGTGGCTCAGGGGGTCAGGGGCAGACGGAGAGAGGAGAGAGGAGTGGGAGGCAGGGACCCCAGGTCAGTAAAGCAGGGCCAGGGTGTCCAGTAGGCTGAGGGGCCCTGGGAAGCTGAAAGGTTTTGTGTTTTAGCTGGTTTTCAAGTTTTTTGCTTGTTTTAGTTTTGTTGTACTGGAGATTGAACTCAGGGCCTTCACACTGAGCCATATCCCCAGCACCCCCCCACACCCTTTTCGGTACCAGGGATCAAACTCGGGACCTTGCACTTGTGAGGCAGGCGGCAGAACCACCGGGCTAGATCCCCGGCCCTCCCCAGCCCTTTTTATTTTTATTTTGAGACAGGGCCTCACTAAGTTGCCCAGACTGGGCTCAAACCTGAGATCCTCCTGACCCACCCTCCCAAATATCATGGATTACAGAAGTGTACCACCACATCTGGCAGGTTTTAATCTTTTTTTAACTGGCAGGTAGTAATTATACGCATCATGGGGAACAGTGAGATGTTTGACACATGTACAGACTGTATTTTGACTGAGTTGGGGATGTTGGCATTTCCTGTCAACCTGATCATTTGTAATTTCTTTGTAGTGAGGCCACTCAACATTTCTCTAGCAGCTAGTTGAATTTTATTTGACAGAGTGCTTTTCCGCCCATGGTGTGGTGAACCCAGAGCCTCACACGTATCCTGGGTGCTGCTCAGTCACTGAGATGCACCCCAGCTATCTTAACTTTCCTTGTGGCCGAAACACAATACCTGGCACCCGCAACTAAAAGGAAAGCTTTATTTTGGCTCAGTTTGCAGAGGTTTCAGTCCTTAGTCAGCTGACTCCCAGACAGGGCAGCATGGCAGAGGCATCGCAGAGGGGCCTTGCTCACGGTGTGGCAGGCAGCAAGCATCAAGCCTTCAAGGGAAGAGGAAGGAGATAGACCTTTCCAGGCCACGCCCACAGTGACCCACTCTTCCCATGAGGCTTCCCCTCCCAGCATCACACCCATGACCCAGCCACCTCCCAAAGCCCTACCTCTGAGCACATGAGGCTCTGAGGGAACCTAGATATAAACTGTAACGCTGGCCCTTTTTATTTTATTTTCAGAGAGGGTCTTGATAGGTCTCCTGAGCTTGAGCTGTGACCCCTCCTCCCTCAGCCTCCTAAGCAGTTGGGATTACAGACCACAGTTGCCCTCCTGTGCTGTAGGACACCAGAATGGCAGGAAGTCTGTAGGAGGGAGGGTGACCTGAAAATGTGGACACAGGGGTTTGTGTGAAGACAGGATTTGGAGTCTTAGCTCAGACATTGTGGTGAGTAAGAGGCCGTCATGGATCAGATGGTCAGATGCGGGAAGAGCATCCAGGCAGAGGCCCGAGGCCCTGTGCCTGCAGGGAAACAGGGTCAATTCCTGAGGGGCAGAGACTCCCTTGAGCAGTGTCAGCCTGTGCCTGGAGGCAGGCACACAAGCCTCGCAGTCCCTGACACCTAGGGCGCCCACCTGGGACTCGGGGGAGGCCCTGCATCCTGAGCAGGAGGAAGCAGCCGTGCCCAGGGCTGGGGGAGGGTGACGTGACAGGCATCAGTACTGAGCCCGCGTTTCCTCTCTCATGCAGGACATTAAGGATGCCTTGCGCAGGTACAAGCCACCATCCCCTCCTGGGCAGGTGGGGCGGGGGGCAAGACTGCTGCCCCCAAGGTAAAAGTGTGCTGTCCCTGTAGGGTACAGGATGTGAAGCTCCAGCCCCCAGAGGTGGTGCCTATGGAGCTGAGGACCGTGTGCAGAGTGCCAGGGCTGGTGGAGACTCTGCGGAGGTTTCGAGGTGGGTACGGCGGCCTTGGCCCTTGGGCCTGGGGCACATGGGGGACCTGGGACAGTGCTGCACAGAACCCGGGAAACCAGCAGTGTACCCTGGCCTGGCCGCTGGCTCCACACAATCTAATCAGGACAGCATGTGGCCAGGAAACCCCAGCTCACATGCTGACACATGCTCCAGCTCCCTGGCATTCAGCCATTCAGTTCAGCTCTGACTGAGTCCTCTGGCCTCCACTTCAGACACTCTTTGTGAGACCCAGAGACCCCAAACTTCTGTCCCACCTGCTGTAAGTCAGGTTCCCTCAACCCCTCCCCATGTTGGATAATTTGGTAAGAGGGCTTATGAGGCTCAGGAGAACACTGTTGGTTACTATAAAATACACAGCTGAAGAGCCACCAGAGTAAGAGAGATGTGTGGGCGTGGTCTGCAGGGGCCTGGCTGTCCCGCACCCATGCTGGGCATTGTCCTCCACACCTGAATGTGGACAGGCCCTGGGCCTTATCTGGCAGTTTTGGTGGAGGTTCTTCTCTATAGGCACGATTGCTTAAATTGTCAGTCACTGGTGATAAACTCAACCTCCAGCCCCAGCCCGCTCCGGAGATCAGTTGTTGGGGGATGTGGACCTTCTAGCCCACTCTCCTGACGCTGGTCCTCCGGGTGAGCAGCCCGGTCCCAAGGCCCACGAACTCCAGTGTGGCAGAAGGAGCTCGTTATGAATGAGAACAGGAGCCAGGGGGACAGACCACACTGAGTCTGTTTCTGCCCTGCCACGGCCGTGCAGGAAGAGTCCTGGCCTCGACCCACTGGCTGCTCTTATGGGACTGTGCCAGACCACAAAGACACCAACCAGCGGTCACCTGGCGCATGGCCGGGTGGTGACAGCCACCCTCCTTTCTGAAGGAGGATCAAGCCTGGCCAGAACTCTCAGGTGACCAAACAAACCAATCAGATTTCCTCCTGTCGCCTGATGCAGGATCAGACTGACCTAGCACATTGTGAGGGGTAGCTAGAAGTGGCTACATGACCTTATTCTGGGGCAAGGAGGTCTTTGCCGCTGGGGCCTGCGCCTGAGATGCTGACTCTTGTACTCCCATACCTGGGTGACTGTGGGCATTTCCCCACAGGTGATGTGACCCTGGACCCAGACACCGCCAACCCCGAGCTGGTCCTCTCCGAGGACAGGAGGAGTGTGCAGCGAGGTGACCTCCGGCAGGCTCTTCCCGACAGCCCGGAGCGCTTCGACCCCGGACCCTGTGTACTGGGCCAGGAGCGCTTCACCTCAGGCCGCCACTACTGGGAGGTGGAGGTTGGAGACCGCAGCAGCTGGGCCCTGGGCGTGTGCAGGGACAACGTCAACCGAAAGGAGAAGGGCGAGCTGTCAGCCAGCAACGGCTTCTGGATCCTGGTGTTCTTAGGCAGCTACTACTCCTCCTCCAAGCGGGCCTTCTCCCCAATGCGGGACCCACCCAGGCGTGTGGGCATCTTCCTGGACTATGAGGCTGGACACCTCTCTTTCTACAGTGTGACAGACGGCTCGCTCCTGTTCACCTTCCCCGAGACAACCTTCTCTGGCACACTGCGGCCCCTCTTCTCGCCTCTGTCGAGCAGCCCAACCCCGCTGACCATCTGCCGGCTGAAAGGTGGGCCCGGGGACGCCCTGGCTCCCCAGTGACACAGACCCTCTCAGGAGTCCGTTTGCCTTTCCTGGCCCTGTCCTGCTTCCATGTCTGTCCATTATGAGGACTTGGGAGGAGGAAACATGTCCTGAAAGATGGGAGAAACGTGCCTTCCTGAATGTGCTTGAGAAAACCGAACTTGGGGTATCTGTAGGCAAGTATAAGCCTTTCCCTGTACATCGAGTGCCATCAGCCTTCACCTAAGCACAGAACCCTGAAGTTCAGAGCCTCCCTGAACTGCCCCCTGCCAGGACCTTCAGGCAGCAGCCAGCCCCCAGCCCCCATGTACCCCACCCAGGTGAACACTGGGACCAGGGTTTGGTCCCATAGATGAGAGTCCTGAGAGGAGCTGTCATTGCCCTAGAAGTGGTTGCTGCAGAAGAGGACACACAGCACCCAGTACTTCAGGGAGGTGAACTAGGAACAGTGTAACACCCATGCTCTGGCAGAGAACACCTGAGCACATGTGCAGCCTGAGTGGCGTAGGGCCAGGAGTGACATTCACGTGTGCACAGCTCTGAAGCCTTAGGACGTCCCAGGCTGGCTTGGCCTCACAAATGCCTCCCTTATCCTGACCCCAGTGGCCTTCTCTAAGGACTCCATGTGTGCCCCACCCTGGTGGCCCACCTTGCAGAAGGGTGCTGCAGAGAGCCCAACCTACAGCATCCAGGGGGCTGCTGTCATGTGTGGTTTGAGGGTTTAACCTCTCTGTTTTATTTATTGTAAGGACAGCATTTCCCTAAATAAAAGTTGCCACCTGCAATTCTGTCTTCTGCTTGTGCTGTGGATCAGTGACAGGACCCAAGAGCCAGGCTCCAGGGAGGGGTTGGTGAGGGAACAGAGGCTCCCAGCTGACTGGCAGCTGCTTCCCACACAGGAGCCTGAGACAGCACATGCTCCACCAGCTCTGCTGCATGTGTGTTAAATAACTAACGGAGATCTTTTCAGGTTACCTGGTGAGCATTTTCTATGATCCCTGTGTTCAAGGTGACCCTACCGATATCAGTGCATTTGCACTTCTCTCAGCAGTTCTCCCAGGATTGGACTTTATTCTTGGTGAGTGGCTGGTCTTTACCACCACTTTGAACCAGGTCATCAGCAGTGACTGCCACTTGCACACAAGAGCAAGAAAACCCAGCTGAGGGCAGCTTCTCCCTGACTAGTGTGGACTCCTTTCCACAAGCGGCTGCAGCTTGGCTGGCCACTGTCTGAGACAAGGAACAGTCTGCCCTGGGTAACGTTGACTCCTGGCACAGCATAACTGACCCTCTGGTGCTCAAACATGGCCCCAGCAATAAGGCAGAAACACCATTGGGTGAGATCAAGGAGGAACACAGGGTACAGAGCACAGTGCTAGCCACACCTTTAGAGAAGCTTGGTCAATGCCTCAGCAACCTCCATGACTCCCTATAACAAGCACACTGATTCCAGCCATGTCAGGTATTCTCCCTCTAACCACAAGTCCCAGAGGGAGACACTGGTGGCTAGGCAGGGAACAGATGGCAGTAATATCTAGCACCTGACCAGGATGCCTGTGTCTCAAGAGTGGGTGACACTGAACAATCTAAGTATCACAAACTGCTAGTGGTAAGTACCCCATTAGCCATGGTGAGCCCTACAGTAGCAGTGCTGAGTCCTACACTAGCAGTTCAGTCCCATAGGAGCCTTGCCTAGACCTACACCAGCCGTTTTGGGTCCTCTACTCTGGTGAGTCCCTCAGTAGCAGTGGTGAGTCATTCACTAGCAGTAGTAAGCCCTACACTAGCAGCTGTGAGTTTTTTACTAGCAGCATTGAGCTTCACTTGCTGTGCTGAGAGTTTCAAGTCTCAAAGGAAACTTTGGACTTACGACTTTTCAGCACTGCTGAAATTGTTCACTTTGGAGACTCTTACGGATGGACTAAATGCATTTTACATAGAGATGCACATGAATATTCTGGGGATCCTAGTTGGACCATCCCCCAAGAGCTTCATCTGCTCATAGGTGAGACTTTCGGAAGACAGCTGGACCCTAGGAGGTGCTATGGTTGACTTGCCATTAGCAGATGGTACCTGGCTCAGGGAGACAGGTCACTGGGGCCTGACCTGGAAAGGCATACTCTCTGGCTCCCCTCTACTTCCTGGCCATGATGACGTGAGCACTGTCCCTCCTCCCAGGCCCTTTTACCATACCATTTCTGTGTTAAATCCTGCCAAACATGGACTGAAACTTCTAAACTGTGAGCCCAAATAGATCACTCCTTTAAGTGGCAGGTGTAGGATAATTTGTCCCAGTGACAAGGAAAGTGACTAAGACAACTACGTTAATACGTTACAGATAGGCAATGTAGAAAGATGTAAAATGGGGTATCAAAAAATTTAAAATGTGGGGAAAAATGGTGTGTAAATGTTAAGTTTTCTTATTACCATAGTATATTCTCTTGTTTTTTCATTTGTTTCTGTTTTTTATTTTTTAGTACTGGGGATTGAACTCGGGACCTTGCGCTTGCAAGGCCGCCACCAGAACCACTGAGCTACATCCCGGCCCTCTTCTTTTTTATGATCATGTTAAGTTGCTATCATTTTGAAACAGGTTGTTATAATCAGATATTTTTGTAATCTTCATGGTAACCATGAAACAAAGTATATAATAGACAAACCAGAAAAGGGGGGAAGGAATTAAAATGCACCACTAGAGTAAATCACCACAAAGGAAGATTATGAGAGAGGAAGAAAAAAGAAAAACAGGAAACAAGGTACAAAATGACTATAGTAAACTTTACATATCAATTATTATCATGAATGTAAATGGATAAATTCTCCAATTAAAATACAGAGACTGGATGGATAAACAAGGTGCAACTATTTGTTGCTTATAAGAAACTTGCTTCACTGCTGAGGACACACGTAGACTGAAAGTGAAGGTATGGAATAAGCTATCCCCTGCAAGTGCACCCCAAAAGTAAGCAGAACTAGCCATACTTAAGATAAAATAGGCTTTAAGTTGAAAGCAGTAAAGAGAGACAAAGTCATTGCATAATAATAAAGGGGTAAATTCAGCAAGAAGAAACGTATTATGCACCCAAATATATAAAGGAAATACTAAAAGAGAAAGATAGACTCCAATGAAAAATAGTTGGGGGCTTTAACATTCTCCCCTTTCAGCAATGGTCAGATCATCCAGCCAAAAATTCAACAATGAAACAGCACCTAAACTAAATGGAGTTAACAGACATCTACAGAACATTCCACACATTAGCTACAGGATACATATTTTTCTCATCAGCACGTGGAATATTCTCAAGGATAGAGCACATGATAAACCATAAAATGAATCTCAGCAAAATTTTTTTAAAAATTAAAATTATATGAAGTAAATTTTGACCACAATGCAATGAAACTAGAAATCAATAATAAGAAAAACCTGGGCCGGGGATTTAGCTCAGTGGTTTTGCCACCTGCTACGCAAGCGCAAGGACCCAAGTTTGATCCCCGGTACAGAAGAAGAAGGAGAAGGAGAAGAAAAGGAGGAAGAGGAAGAGGAAGAAGAAAAACTTTTGAAACTATTCAAAGACACAACACTAAACAAATATTTGAGTAACTAACAGATTAAGGAAGAAATACAGGAGGAAATTTTTAAATTACTTGAATAAAAATGAAAACAATATACCAAAACCTATGTATACAATAAAAACAGTATTAAAGGAAAATGTATAGCAATCCATGCTCACGTCAAAGTTCTCAAATAAAATCACTGCTTCTCAAGGAACTAAAAATAAGAACAAAACAAACCAAAAATTATTAAAAGGAAAGAAATAATAAAGGTCAGAAAAGGAGTAAATGATATAAAGACTGAAAAATACAAAAGGTCAATGAAACAGAGTTGTTCTTCAACATGATAAACAATAGTCTCTTTAGCTAATAAGAAAAAGAGCAAAGACCCAAACAAGTTAATCCACAGATGAGACAAGGTGTAACAATGGACACCACAGAAATACAAATGACCATAAGAGATTATTATGAACAACTATATGCCAGCGAATTTGATAACCTAGAAGAAATGGAAAAATTCCTAGAGACAATTCTACCAAGGAATAAACTTATCATAAACCTGAGTCATGAAGAAATAGAAAACCTGAACAGTCGAATTAAAAAGTAACAAGATTGAATCAATAATAAAAAGCTTGGCATCAAAGAAAATTCCGAGACTGGATGGCTTCACTACTGAATGCTACCAAACTTTTTAAAAAATGCTCATATGCATGCTCTTTGTTATAATAAAAACTAGAACAAAACTCTTCCAACCACATTATATAGAAGGCCAGAATTACTCTGACGCAAAAGCCATATAAAGACACATTTTTTTAAAAAACTACAGGCTAATGTCTCTAATGTATGTAGTCCCAAAAATACTCAACAAAATATTAGCAAACAAAATCCAAAAGCACACTAAAAAGATTATTCACCACGATCAAGTGGGATCCGGTCCAGAGATATAACAATGGCTCAATATATGCAAATCAATAACTGATATACCACATCAACAGAATAAGTGACAGAAACCATATGGTCATTTCAACAGATGCAGAAAAGCCTTTTGGTAAACATCCTTCATGGGCCAAGGATTTAGCTCAGTGGTTCCACCGCCTGCCTCACAAGCACAAGGACCCAAGTTCGATCTCTGGTACCAAAAAAAAATAAATCCTTCATGACAAAAATGCTTCATAAGTTAGGTTTAGAAGTAATGTACCTCAACCATTTACAATAAGCCAACAGCTAACATACTGAATGAGAAAAACCTAAAAGCTTTCTCTCTAAGATCTGGAACAATGCAAGGATGCCCACTTTCATCACTTTTATTCAACGTAGTTCTAGGAGTCCTACCCTAGCAATCAGGAAAAAGGGATAAAAGGCATCCAAACTGGAAAAAAAGTCAAATTGTCACTGTAGATGATATGACCTCATATATAGAAAATCCCCAGCCTCTTGATGCCAGGGCTTGTCAGCCAAGCCTTCAACACATGGGCCTTTCTGGGACATTTAAGGTCCAGACCGTAAAACCACCTTAAACAAGTTTTCCTTCCCAAGGGGCTCAGAAAGGATTTAAGAGGTGATGACCGTCAGATATTGTTTTCAGTGCGAGCACCTGTCCTGCTCTTGGTCCTGGCAGGGGCCCACCAGGACAGCACAGAACCTTGCATCTGCCAGGCCGTGGAAACTGGGCTGAGGTACACTGTGAGAGGCAGCGGCATATCAAGCAGTTCCATGTGGGTGACCTGCAGCCACATGAGCTGAGAAAGGTGCCAGCTGGGATTTACCTGTGTGTCACAGGAGGCCACCAGGAAAACCAGAGAATCACAGAATGCAAGTGACAGTCTCTGACCCACAGTGCTCAGAAAGAGGCAGCAGCCCCGAGCTGAGTAGAGAGCACTAGGGAATGGTGGGGACTGGTAAGCCAGAGAACCCATGTTGTTTCCACCAGCTTCTGCTGGCTGAGCCTTGCAGATGAGCCTAGGCTCCTCATGGTTCTGCAGTGCAGAGCTCAATATTTATGTGATGTCTCTGAATAAGTGTTGGCAACTAAGTCAGAACTTTAACAAATACGTCAGCCAGCTGTGGTGGCACTCACCTGCAATCCCAGCCCTCAGGAGTCTGGCGGCAGGGGATTGTGAATTCATGGCCAGCCTGACCTACATAGAGAATCGAGCTCAAAGTGCATTGCTTTGTGAGATCCTGTCTCCAAAAAGAATAGGTGTGTGTGTGTGTGTGTGTGCGCGCGCAGATA